AACAGTAACATTACATCAACGTTATAATTTCCAGCTCAATAACATAAATATAATGTAATATATGCTGTGCATAACGATTACATTGTCGAGTAAGATATAACATTGATATAATGTTACATGGTATTTCTGTTTAATCGATTGGTTATATACATTATGAACGATTTGCAAATCGTTAAGTATGCGATGCGTATTGTTAGTTGCATTCGTTAAGTTTTAAAATTATATAATTTGATATTATGTATCATAAATTATTAGGAATTGATCATGAATGTTAAGTTTCTTACAGCTTCACGGAAGGGCATACAGGAAGTGATCTAGGATCACCGGCTAGAGATCATTTAGGTTTGGTCACCAACGCGATTTAATCAAATCGGTCAAATAAATATAAATATAAATCAAATCTCTGCCTTTGTTAAAAAATAGTCATGAAACAGATTTGTTTTACAAATACGTTCTGTAGGATATTCACGTTCCAATATGATATACTGACTTGCATTATTGACTTATTATATTATCAGTGGAGACTAGCACAGGAATATATGCCTGCAATATACATCTATCAAAATATTTTTTACAAATATCAGTTTAAACAATTATTGGTAAGATCATACGTTAAATAATCAGATACTTTCAGCACCACTAATACCTCTGAGCAATATTATCTCTAACTTCCACATATGTATCACTGTGTACGAAACAAAAGGTTGTAATCGATGCTCATTATTTGTTGTGTGTAAGTCAGAGATATCAAAGGTAGTACCAGTAATTTGTATATTTACCGATCGTGCAAAATCTCCACGACTCTAATCAAGATATATCGGACAACGAGGGCATGATGTTAAAAGAGCAGTCATGCGGTAAAACTCGAACCCTCATCAGAAACCAATTATTTGTTAGTCCGTGGAGATAAAAATCTGCCATAAACGTACATAAAACATGATTTCCCAAATTGTGTAAACCGTTTCTTAAAATTATAAACCTCCACGATTCATCCAATTTTAATAGATATAAATAAATTAGGAGAAAGGATACACTGTGTTTATTTATATTACCTTACTGCTATTACTTTTTATTTGTTTATTGAATATAATTTCATAAATTTATTAATTATAGATACACGATTTTGCAACGCATTCCATCCATATCACTATATGTTGATACGTCACGAGGATATGCAACAAGTATATACCTGGCTTAAGATTGTAAAACTATGCAAAATGATGAAGTATTATATTAAAAAATTTGTTTGAGACCCATGCTTAGGAAATTTTTGGTTTAGAGCAAACTTTGCGGAAAGAAAATAGTAATTTCGAAAGGGTCGAAAAACTTACAAAAGCATTATCAATAACATAATTCTTAACGAGATTACTTTTAACACGTCTTGTGTTCGAGATACCTAGAGCTTTGTTCAGGATAGCGAATACTTGAATAGGACATGTATTGATACAGATGATGGAAGAAATATTGATAAAGATGCGGTCAATTTTTATAAGCTCCTGATAAACATGGCTGGATGGAATGCAGAAATGATTGTTAAGTTCCATCAAATAAAACTGATGGTAAACAGGGATTACAAAGATGCATAATATTGAAAGAAGATAAAGTAAGTATAAGTATTTGTAGCAATTAAACTTATTATATCTCCTTCTCACTCTCTCTCCCCCTCTCTCTCTCTCTCTCACCCCCTCTCCCTCTGTTTCTTTATAGTTATTATTTATAAGATAAATCTTATCTATTTAAATTGCGCTTCTTATTATTCATGGTTTGGCTATATGCAGTTACATTGGTTATTTAACGTCACACACAGGAAATGATAAGCAGTACACTTTTTGCAACAGTTCTATTTTTTGACGCAATGATAACAAGATCTTACGCACAGGAAAATAAAAAAAACGCAAGCGATTCGATCGTTTACAAATGATACATTTTCAAGATCGTTAAATCTTTCTGTCAGACACCGCATCAATTCGCCCGATGGTATCGCGACGAAAAACTTACATAGCTACAGCTAGTTCGGAAAAATGAGGAATCTCCACAGCGTACGCTGGATGATTTTCTGTGCTCACCCAGATCGTGCCGTTTTTAGCATTCCGCAAAAGATGTAGCAGCGCGCGCGATACATTGTCAGACGGTTGTTTCATCAATTGCTTCAGGTTGGAGACATTAAAGTCGACGAAGTCCAGCATTTGATCGGGCGTTACATTAAGTAACGGCGTGGACGTGAAGCCCGGGCATAACGTAAGGACACGTACTTTGCTCAAGTAGTGAAAATTTGCCAGACATTGGCTGAATCCGACCACTCCGTATTTACTGGCACAGTAAGTCGGTG